GAAAAAAATAAAAATAACAATAAAACAGAGTTTCAAAACAGGTTAGTAAGAAAGTATAATAATTACATTGCATATTGTCTTTGTAGCAGTTATTCAGAGTACAAGAAATAGGCAAGATATCATGTTCAAACAATATTAGCACAAACCTTTCTATTCAATGGACTAAGATAAACTAGCTGTATAACTATTTTGTAACACCTTATTTAAAGGTCTGTCATTTAGATTTTTAAAGTTCAGTGTTTCTTCAAATAAAAAGAATTTCACCATTGTGAGTTGTCAGGCGCAAAGAACCTGCCCCAGAAACAAACTCCATTTTACAGAATTAGATCCCAAAATACAAATAATTTTCAGGATTTCAACTTCCACAAATAAAAAGTAGAGAAATACCAGTCCCAGATTCTCTGCCACCTAACCCTGAGTGGAAGTTTAAGATACAAAAGTTATATACAGCTGTGTTCAAAGTCACACAGTATACAGCATCATAATTCACAGTAATCCAGTGAAGCAGGCAGTGCTATTCTCATTTTATACATGAGAAAACTGAATCAAAAAAGCTAAAGTGACTTGCTGAAAACCTCCCAGGTAGAAAGTGGCAAGCTCAGCTCATGGTAGTTTACTTCCAAAGTCCCCAGTCTTATCTCACAGCAGACATACACTCAGGAAATATCATTTCCCCCTGTTGTGGCCTTCTTTGAATTCTGATGCAGCTGAATAGGCCTCATAGTCACTGTGTCTCTCACAGCACAGAAGTAAGAGGCAGAGTCTTTCATCTGGAGCTCCCTCAGAAACAGGGAACTGTACCCATCAGAGCGACGAAGGAAAGTAGAAAGACGACTTCTATTCTGAAACCCATCCAGAACATTGTAAGAGACAAATACAGGAGCTCCACCATCGTGTTGCTGGTACCAGGACAGCCCGTTGAACCCAGACGTCTGGAACGTGCAGTTGACCTGGACAGAGGCTCCTTCCACAGCCATCAACTCGGTGGGCTGCTCAACACTTTGTCTTGCAGCACCTGGGAGAGGACACATGACCGTTACCTGAAGTTACATCACTATTAAAAATGTTTCTTCCATGTGGTCACAGGAAAACCTCACTGATGAGGAAGGTGCTTAGAAAGAGAGTCACTGGCACCTCATGAGCAAAATCTACTAGAAAAGACTCTTTTGTTAGAAGCTGTGATCATTTAGCTGGAAGAAAAGTATTTTGAAAACTCCCAGCAGCATTTGCTAGTAAGTTGAGACTTACCTCCCACCATCAGTGAAACGTAAAGAAGGAAAACTCCCCACATCTGCTGCATGGACCACCAGCCAGGCACTGCTTCCTGGCTCCTGAGACACTGGCCTCTGCAGAAGACAAACCTTCACATGGGTAGGGGAGGGAGGCTCAGTCCATATGAACCAGAGAGACCCAGGGGAGGAGCTCCTTTCTAGAGGGATGATTTCAAGCTTCCACAGGAGCAGCCTGGGCTTCCGTGCAGGAGTCTCTTCCCTTGAACATTTTCTACTGACTTCTGCATGGGTTTTAATCCAGTAGTTCTGGTGAAGATTGCATGATAGGATCCAATGCAGAGAATAGAGAAGATAAACAAGAACATAAGGTAAAGCCAGTCTGCTCATACTAAGTGTCGGGTTTTGTTTTGTTTTTTGTTTTGTTTTGTTTTTAATTTTTAGACAGGGTCTTTCTATGTGGTTCAGGCTGGCCTTGAACACCTTATGTAATTCAGGCTCTCCTCAAACTTGCCACAGTCCTCCTGAGTCAACCTCCTAAATGTTGGGATTACAGCCATGCACCACCACACTGGCTTTTGGGGGGCTTTTTGTTTGTTTGTTTTTTGTGGGGCTTAAGGGGGTTTTGTTTTTGTTTTTTGGTTTATTGAGACAGAGACTGACTTTGCAGTTCAAGCTGGCCTTAAACTCACTATGTAGCCCAGACTGGACTCAAACTTGTGGCAATCCTCCTGCCTCAACCTCCTAAGTGCTGGAATTACAGACATGTCCCGCCACATCCAGTTTCTCATACTAAGTGTTTCTTTCCCCAGAAGAAAATATTTTAAGAGAAAATAAGTGCAATTGTCAGTGAGTTGTGTACATGCTGGTGTGTCTATGCTGTTGTTTTTGTTATCATAATCATTGTTTGCAGCAGTAAGAAACAGAATTTTTTAATTGTCTTTCTCTCCAAACAGAATATCAGATACTAATTAAAAGGTCAAAATAAATATATGCCTGTTCACAAATATACAGAGTCCACCAAAAAATATATGCATAATTCAGGAAAAGAAAAATGGTATAATGTTTTTTCAACAGATGGTGTTATCCTCATATTAGAGATCCTAGAGGAGGTCATATATTGCAGAAAACCAAGAAACCAAAAATGCATGTGCAGCAATCTCAATGCCCAAAGTTATCCAAACAGCAGCCTGTTGTATTAATAAATGCTTGGAATCTAATGACCACCACTTTGAGCACCTCTTACAATTATAGGGACCAAAGGTAACTTGTATTAATCTCATAATGTCTCAATAAATTTAGTATTAAAATATTTATACAAGTTTTCTTTTCATGATGTGTACATACATTTTGGGCAGAATATATATATATTTGTGTATGAGTACAGAGGAAGAAACTGAAAAATAAAAGAAACTATTAGCGTCAGTTACTTCAGAAGGATGGAATTAAAAGAGAATGGTGAAAAGAATAACCTTTCTTATACATCTATGTCTTGTTTGACTTGAAATGCCTTTGTGTAATAAAATGAGAACTTGAAAGAAATTTTAAAAAGAATGCAAGAAAGAAGAAATACTAGGCTAGAAAAAGATTGGACAGGAGAGGAGAGAGAAATCTATATTTCAAAAACTATTTTCCAAGTCCTACAAAATGAAATTAACTCTTTTTGACATGTAGTTTTCTAAATTTAATGCTTTGCATATGGTTTACTGCAGTAATTTATATCCCTCATAAGGCTCCAGACATTTCTATTTACTCCAAGTCTCAGCATAAAGAGTTTTAATAAAGGTGATACTGTCATCTTGTGGCTGGGTGTAACACTGCAACTGTATACACACACACACACACACACACACACACACACACACACACCTTAATCACTTAATTTAAAATTAAAAGAAACCTAAGAAATCATCCAGTTTTCATCCAGCACAAGCAGGATTCTAAAGTTTATGTCACAGTCCACACTCCATTTGCTTCATTTCTAGCCAAACCCCCAGTACTTCTTGGTTAATATTATCTTTTGTAAAAGAAGTAAATGGGTTTTCAAAGCTACTGCCCTGGCATATGCTGTCTGGACCTGAGGACAATATGAGAATCAACTTGATGTCAAACGTGCTCCAGGGAACTGTGAATAAAGGTTCATATTTGAAACTACAGCCCTCCTTTCTTTGTAGTTTTCCCCACTAGTTCATTCAAAAAGATATACTGAGAACCTACAACGTGCAAGGCACTTTTCTATTAGTGCTGGAGACCCCATAGTGAGCAAAATTCCCTCTTCTCTTGGGGCCTACACTCCAGAGAAGGGGAACGATAAACAAATAAATGTAAGTTGATGCTAAATGTTACTAAGACGAATAAAACAGAAAAGGAGGAGAGTCAAGGAAGACTTCATTGATGAAAAGCTGTCTGCACAAAAACCAGAAAAAGATGGTGGAAGAATCTCAATGAGTATTTGGGAAGAGATGGAGATCTCTTAACACTAAGAAATTAGAGGTCACCCAAAACTACACTGATGAGATTATTCCCCAGAGCTCCCTTTCCAAGGATCTGCTAGAAATGTTGCATTCTCTCTCTCTCAAAACAAAGTAATGAGGATTTTGGAAGGGAGATTCTCATCAGGGAGTTACTTTGGAGTAGGATTTCCCTTGAGGTTAGAATTTTTCTTCAAATCTCTTGACAGTGTTGTGTATTTTTCTTTTTAATCAGAGCTAAAGAAGCAACACCTGATGAAAACTGCTGTAAAATATGACTCAGAATAAATAGAAGTCACACTCGTCAAAGAGCCCTGAAGGGCAGAGAGGTGCTCTCAGAAACTCTGAATACTTACTCGCTGGTTAGACTCCTAAAACAATGGCAAAGCCTTTCCACAGCGGGATACGGGAGCCCTGTACAACGAGCTAGGCTGAACCTCTGAAGGTCCACACCACATCTCTACCTGTGGGACCGTTCGGCTCAGGAACAGCACACATCCTCCTGGATCCTTCTCTCTGCACATGTGAGTCTAAGATGATGGAAGTGTGGCTCTGAAACATGCTCCATTCAAAATAAGGCAACAAACTAATTTTGGAATTTACAGATGTTCTATAATGGCAGCCAAACGTTGATTTAATCAGTCCGTTTTCTGTTTTCTTCCTCAGCTCTTTCTCAGATTGCCAGGATTAAATTCCTTCTTTCCAAACTTGGGGAATTTAACTTTTGTGTTTAAAATGACTCTAAAAATCTAAATGCTACTATCTTTCCACTGTGTTTTCTTATTAGGGTAGTGATAAAGAGCAGAGCTGAGCAATGATAAAGTCAGAGGGATCATGAAAAGTTTTGCTGATTGTGTAAACACAAAGACAGGCCTGCTTCACAAACTGTCCATTCTCCACGTGAAGAGAGCACTAAACTTCCTAAATGAAGTTTATTCCTGTTTACCCTCTGGTGAAGGACAAGAATCAACTCTGAGGATTAGATAAAATATGGACCAGCCGCCTCAAATTCTGTGCCTGTCTTCTACGCTGCTCTCCCTCTATCGGGATAGCTGTGTGTGAATGATGGGTTGCCCAGGACAAATCTCTCCAGAAACATTCAGACTGGTCTTGTCCCGCAGGGAAATAGGAGTCCTTTCATTATAGTCCATCCAGCGTAACACTGAATCAGTCTTTATCGTTCCATCTTGAGAACTCCCTTATATCCCAGCTCTAGAAGGTCCCTGTACAATCCAAAGTTTCAGACAGCTATGTGAAGGCTAGCCCTGCTCTGAGCCTCCCTAAAGCAGTGCAAATCTGCTCACAACGCTTTAGCCTGACTTGAGGCAGAGGCACACAGGAGGCAGCTAGGCCTGCGGTCTCATGACCACAGAGGTCTTCCAGCAGTGCCCTGTCCCTCCATGCCCTCACATTCTCAGTGCCGCTCATCCACTCCATGCCCACAGACTTTCCAAAGAGTTTCCTGGATAATTGCTTTTCAAAAACATATTATTTATATTCTGATGTCATTCAACTGTTACTTTCAAGGGATTTTTATACTGAATTTTAACCTTTTGTTGTTTTCATATACCTTGAAAATTTAGATTCTAACCATTTTACAACGTGATCCTGTAATCACAGCACTTAGGAGGCTAAGGCAAGGGGACTGTCTCAAATCCAAAGCCACCCTGGGCTACATAGTGAGTTCAAATCCAGCCTGAACTACATAGTGAGACCCTGTCTCAAAAAAAAAAAAAAAAAAAAAGAAACAAAGAAAAGGTACTTTATGATTAAGTAGCATATGAATGAATCTCAAACCCTAATGTGGGGGGATCTTTATCACATAACCTATTTAACCAAAGGAATGAAATAAACACATTTCATCCTTTTAGTTTCTTGCCAGCTGGCTCAAAGACTTGAAACTCTTTTAAAGCCTTCAGAGAGTTATTACATAGTAAATATAATATATATATGGATCTATTTTAAAGACACTAAAGATTGAGCCATGTTATATATACACATTTTAAACACACTCAAGTCATATGTAAATAGTTTTATAATAATAAAAACTCCTCTAAACATTTACAAAAAATCCAATCTCAGATGAATGGAAGACATCAATCTAAATGCTAAGCTGCAATAAATGCAATAAAAAGCATGCAGTGAAGTTGGTTATATTTAAACTAGATATGTACTATTTAAGTGCTTTTTTTAAAACTAGGAATCAAACTCAGGGCCTCGTGCTTGCCAGGCAAGTGCTGTACCACTGAGCTATCTCCCCAGCCCAATATGTACTATTTAGGGAAGGAAGTGATTCTTGCCCTAAATCCAAGCCATGTGGGCAGCAGAATTAAATAAACAGGATTAAGCAGAGAACACTGCATTAGATCAACAGGATTTGGGAACATCCTTTCAGTCAGCTATTTGATCATTCAGGAAATAATTATTTATCATGTTTACTGTGTTAGACGAAGTGACTAATAGGTGAAATAAGAATTTAGACAATGGCAATTCCATGTAATATATGCTCAGAGAAGTGTAAGCACAGGTCCCTCAAATCTGGAAAGACTTCTTGAAGGTGAAGACTTTGACACTGAATCCTTTTATGATTCAGGACTACACAGCGGAAGTGAGTAGGAAAGATAAAGGTCCATAGTCCCAAGTGCAATCGTGCTTCTGGGACAGACTGAGTAGCCCCATGCATCTAAACACCAGGAAGAAATTTCAAGGGGGTAATAGATGGTAAATAAAGGCTAAGTGATGAATATTTTTACGTGCTATGCGAGGAGATGCAATTTTAGCTGAGGAGAGAAAGGAATCATTGCAGTGTTGCTAAGCAGAGAAGGGGGAAGTAATTGTCACAATAGCAGGGTATTTGTTTCATACTGCTCTGTGTCAACCTTAATGTCTCTTC